CTTCACCTTACTTTTCCTCAATCAAAGATGTGGTCTCTTTTTTCATTTTTTGAAGGAGGGGGAGTAATGTATCACGTGATAAAGAACTTAAATGTGCCAGATGAATGTGATACACTTTGTCTTTTCTGAATTAAAAAAATCCCTTTTTTCTCACCCCCGCGCACCGACAGGAACGGATCGGACTGGGAGGATTTCCGTTCGGGTTTTCAAGTACTGCTTGAACGAATCCCGCAAAAAGTATGTTTCTGTAAAAATTTTCCCCGGGGTCATTATATGTTTGGTGATCTACTCTGATCTCAAACTGTTTCCTGTATATTTGGAATGGAGTAATGCAATAAATTACTACATATTTTCTCATGTTAACCCCTTGAAATTGTCCCTTTCCATTGCTTCAATCTGTGGTTGTTTCGGACTCTCTGTTCAGACTTTTCTCTCTTTCTCTTGGTTTACATACATTCGCTCAGTTACATCTCATATCTCGGATAAGATAGGCTTTCTGATTCCACGCCAGACGCTTCTTCACTCCTATCCATCTTTTTTGGGGATGCATAGCCTAGATACAATCTGCTCTCTTGCTTTGGTTTTCTTCCATATAAAACCAATCGGTCGTGTGCAAAGCATAACACCCTATTCGGTGAACAACCTTTCCCTAGCCACAGAGATTCCAGACACGGTCCGTTTTACAGTTTTACCGCTCAGTTTTTTTAATTGTCTGATTTTTGGTAGTTTTTCTTCAGAAAATGAATTTGACTATGTCTCACGTTTTAATCAATATCAATCGTTTGGTTTACGCTATAGAAGACTGAAATAAAAGAAACTGTTCGCCCTAAAACACTAAACAGTAAACATGGCTCATCTCGATTGCCCGGAATAGACCAGTTATCCTTGGACGACAAACGACAAGGTCTGGTGCGACAAAGCTGATTGAACGAGGCGTGGCATAAGCTCTCTGAGTAGATAGATCACATGTTTTGTCCTAAATCGTCCGGGTCTATTTGTCAGATAAACTGTTTCACCTAAATTAGTTTGAACTGGAAAAAATGAATCGTTCTCAATATCTCGGGTAGAATGAGTACGTACTGAGGCGAGCATGTCACTGTTTCTGCTTGTTGTAAAATATATATGTGCAATATAAGACAACAGTTTTGTTAGCTTGAACAGTCTTTCAAAATGATACACGTAAGCTGAAGAGAATCCTCGAGATCTGGTAACTAGTCACCAGTCTTTTTTTCATGCCTATTCTACTATAACTTATACATTTTGTATGCTAAAAAATCCAACAGAGTATGATGCCTTTTTGTCATTTTTCACTGGCTAGCTTGGGTCTCTCTCTCTCTATCCAACATATTTGTTTTCACAAATGTTTCACTCCAAGTGGTCATTTCGATCTCCTC